CATCGTTGAGTTCAGGACTGGGAGAGCTGACGTTCTTAATGCTAAGCTCATTTTATCGACTTGAGATGGTCTCCGCATGGTCGAGTGGCACAGGCGGGGCAGGACTTCTCGGCGCTCTATTGTTTTTGGCCCTCACTTCATGGCTGGGACTATCCGTGCCTCAAACATTGGCAGTCGTCTCCGTAAGTTTTATTCTTACAGCAGGTCCTTACGCTGCACTATTTTGAGAAAGAACCAAAGCCTAACACTCCTTTTTAAGCACTCTGCCCTATAGTTATTTCCTGCCCTAATGTTGATTGCATACTTTGTAATCCTGACCAAAGCTACAAGTCCCGCTTCTCGCCAACAAGCAGCAGGAGAAGGATATCGGCCGCTTTCAACCTCCAATCAAATATTTACAAACAACTATGACGAAGAGCGTCTGCTCTCCACAACTAACCATCACCAGCGCCCCCGAGCCTCAACTTGGGACCCCTCAACCGCGTACCTCGCTCCACAAGTTGCAAAGCCAACGTCTCCGCCCTCATTCCACTCTATGAACGGAGTTTCGGAAGGCGCCGGCGTATCTCGTTTTGACCAACATCATGATCAACATGGAAATGGAAGCAGAAGTACCCAAACGGAAGGATCAACACTCCCAACATCATCTGGGCGAACCTCGCCTCCATCCATTACCCACACGAATGACAATAGCTCAGCTTCTTCTGTAACGTTTCCGACGCCGCCAGCTATTCCTTCTTGGGACCTTACTCCTCCATTGTGGGACGCGCCTCAGCATCATGCAGAGCCAACGTCGATTAATACTCTTTTGGCAGCGACAGATCCAGGCGATCCAAACTTTGTGTCACCCTTCCGGGAGAGCGAAGAGAGCGGATCCGGTCGTCGTAGGAGAGTCTACAAGTCCCAACCAAACGAGGACATGACGATGCAGGAGAAGCGTGCTATGGCCAGGTCACTGCTTGTACCCTTCATGTTCCCGCTCTTCTTGGTCTATTTTGCGTAAGCGCCTCGTTACAACGTCCTTTTAGTTTTCATTGTTCGCATTAGATGGCTACTTTGACTAACTCATTCATTCGTCTCCTTCCATAGCGAGTACACAATGAACCAAGGAGTCCTCCCGGTCGTGCTATTTCCTCTGGAGAAGACGCCGTTTACCCACATGCGAGACGTAAGGTCTTCATTCTATGCCTCATATTCCGTTGTTCTTTTTCAATTGGACCTTACACTAAATCCTTTTGCCTTAAAAAAATAGCACTATGTTACATATTCCGCTATTTATCAGGTAAAATGATCATGTATGCTTACCTTGTTCAAACAGACCTACGTTGTGCTGGAAACAATTTACCGTTCAGAGTCAAGAGGGGAGGGAATCTGTCTGACTTAATTGCTCTTTGTTCTTTGCCTGCTCTAACCATTGACTTGTGAAATTATTGCGTGTTAAACTGTCTAATAGCTCGGAGTGTTCATCAGTCGGTCCTCTGCCTCGCTCATCGAAATACCTTATCTTTGGATACCTTCGTTACTGCAAGTTTTTACCCTTCTCATCGCCAGTGCACAGGCAGTCCTGACAACCGTCGCCTCCTCCCCTCCACCAACCTACTCCTCATCATGGTGGGGTGACGGGCTCGCATCTCTTCCAATGCCCTTTCCAAACATTTACTTTGTGTTTCTTTTGATATTTTGGGAGGGACTCCTTGGTGGTGCTACCTATGTTCACACTTACATAGGAATTTCAAAAAATCTTGAGCACGACCCCCGAGGAAAGGAGTTTGCTCTGGGAGTTGTCGGTGTTGCGGATGGGCTAGGAATCTTACTTGCTGGAGTTGTGAGTTTGTGGCTTGAGCCAGCTCTGTGTCAATGGCAAGTCGCTGAACGTGGCGTCAACCTCTGCCTTAACATGGCTGACTAAGGCCATTATAAGTTATAATTTAAAAGGCTAGGCCATGGTATTGTATTGTTTGTCAAGACGGACATACAAAGCAGATCAGCTAGAATAAGATAAAAATCCTAAGTAATCGAAACCTTTCTTCTCGTGGCCTTCTTCAGCGTGCTGGCCCTGTCTGGCCATCGATGGAGGCTACCCGACTGTATCCCTGATCGCGTAGCAAAAACAGTTCAGTTGTATCTCCTGCTGCAATGACAGAGTCACCAAGTATAGGTGGGATTGGCTTTGACTGTGCTAAGCGGAGGGTTGTGTGTCAAAGATATTTAGAAATCATTATTTGGCGTATGTGCAGAGCAGATTGTAGACTGTGGCTTTTGCTCACTATAAAGGTTCTTTGTTTCTCGTCAACGTGTGAAGGAGCCTTGCTGAACGGCGCGCTTCGCAAAACCTTTTTTTTTCATATTCCTCATTCTTTCTTACCCCTTCTCCTCATCCTCTTCTCCTTCCTCCTCTTCTTTTTTCTCTTCATCCCTTTCCTCACAACAAAAGCATCTCGATCTTCACACCTCTCCTCGCTGTTGGCCTCGATGCATCCTGCTCCGAATCTTCCTCCTGAGATCTTGTGTCTCATCACACACCACCTCTCCCGACAGGACCTGGTGCAGATAGTCAGGATAAACAAGTCTTGGTACTCAACCTGCTCCCCGCTGCTCTGGAAGACTGTCCGGATCCTGCACCCATCCCGGCGACTCTGTTTCATGTCCGAGCCAGCACAACAGGCCTTTCTCCGCCATAGTCGCTATGTGAGGTCTTTTCAAACCCGCTTCTTCAGGCCGATCAAGACCTTTCTTGAAGCTCCCGATCTCTGCCTCGAGACCATCGATATCCTCAACAACAACCTTCACTCCGATGTCATAGATCCTTGCATGAGCGCCGACTCTGAAGCTCTGCTGATTGCTCTGTTGAAGAGGAGCCCTCACCTTCGGAATTTGCGCATCAAACGATCACCTACGGTGTCTCTCCCTCTGCTCAAGACTATTGCCACAGTGCTACCACGACTCCAGTTCTTGTCTTTGTTTTGTCCACAAGGAATGCCGTGGGTCAGTCCAGCAACCATGAAGGCGTTTCTTGAAGCATGTTCTCCAGAGATGGAACAATTGAGTGCGTGGGTGATTGTCGAGGAAGACAACGAAGGGCAAATCGAGTCAGGCATATGGGAACTAAAGGACAAGGACAAGCACGCGTGCGAAAACGAGAAAGAACGCAAGCACCACCAGTGTTTCATCAGCGATGTGTATGACAGCGTCTCTGAACACAACCACAGCGCCAGCCAGGAGTCTCCACCATCACATCCAGCCCTCCGCATGCTCTGTCTATCAGGGTACTTTTTCGACCATGAGGAGGAGATTGTGGTGCCGTTCCTCAGAGGCTGCAAGAATCTGCAATTGATCGAGTCACCGGATGAATACCGTGACGACAAGTGCTGGATCACGGACAATTATCGGATACGAAGTGCGATTGAGGAGGCCACAGGATCGACCCTCAGGAAGTTGATCATTGAACCTTCAGGAACAGGGGCAGGGGTAGGGGCAGAGACAGAATCAGAATCAGAGCCAGAGATCACGGATGAGGATGTGGCACAGTTGATTCTGGCAGGACAGTCGCAGCGGTCAGACGGACGCAAGGAGGTCTGGCACACTCTTCATTTGGAAGGAAATGCGCTTTTGGGACCACTGACAGCGGATGCGATTCTCCAGACTTGCACGAGTGGGCTGGTCTGGCTCAACATTTCAGGCTGCCAAGGGATTCGTGGACATCACATCCAGACTATTCTGACGACCGCAGTACACTTGCGGAACCTCGATGCAGGATGTAGAGGCGACTCTGAAGCGACGGATTCTCGACTCTACGTTTCTGAGATCCTTCAATCGAACAAGCCTTGGGTCTGTCGGTCACTCCGGAGACTGAATGTGCATATTTCTGGACTCGCAAGACCAGACTTCTATCGTACAGCAGGAATGGATGCCGTCGGCTATAGTGACTCCTTGAAGCAGAGTCGAGATGTCCAGAAACAGGTCTATCGCCAGATCGCCAGCCTAAAGTACCTGGAGGAATTGTGCCTAGGAGATAGCGGCCTGTTTCCAGAGGATTCTGGGGATGTCGACGAACTCTCGGCTGGGCCGGCGGGGTCAAGGGCGAAGGAGGTGATATGGGAGCCTTACATGTACGATTTGAAATACGGCAACGGATACCAAACAAGATGCTTGGAGCTGACGCTTGACAGCGGGTTGGATATTCTTGGGACACTGACTGAGCTGAGGGTCCTCGACATTACAAGGATGAAGCACCGGCTTGGAGTGGCTGAGATGGAATGGATGGAGGACAATTGGCCGAACCTCCGGACTATCAAGGGTCTGTTTGCAAAGCTACTGAGACGTCCTTACGCCGTGACACCTAGTGAGGACGACAGGAAACGACGGGAGGATTTGGTGGACTGGGTGGCCATGTGTAGGCCGCCTTGGTCAGGTATGGACGAAGATGAGATTGAGCAATACCGCGCGAAACGATCCTTTCATGTCTGTGAAGGTTACGAATCGGACACGTCGATCTGAGAATAAATATTATTATTATTATTCTTATTCTTCCGCATGTTGAAGGGAGCACAGGGAAGCTTTATTTTCGTGTGGTGTTTTAATCTCTCTAGTGAATACACCCCAAGGCAGGCATCAAAGATTTGAAACAAAAGGAAGGCTGCATACGATACTCCTTTAGTATCTTTACAAGTTATGAAGGCCGATCCAAAGCCCGACTCTATGCATCTATTGTCGCTTCTCTTCGCAGCTTAAACGGAAGCCAAAGTAATCCTAGACGGAAATAAAGGGAATTCTTCCCACCTTATTCACTATTGATGGCCTCCTTCCTGCTACATACTCTCCGACAACTGCTCGTCAGCAGCGTGTAGGTCATTGGTCACTCCAACGCGGACCATTCAGTTAACATAGGGAGTGAGGGGGGATGTAACAGGATTCTGCATTTTCCACGCCTTGGTAAGATGAAGTTGGAACAGGCACAAAACCCCAGGTCAAGAAAGCAAGACACAACACACAAGTGCAATGAAGAGGTGGCCGAGTGGTCCAAGGCGCCGCAACCACAAGGTTTTCCATTTGATTCCTACTGGATTCAAACACTTGCGGTCTGTTCCAAGAACAGTCGTGGGTTCAAATCCCTCCCTCTTCTTTTTTGCCACTTGTGTCTTGCACCTTCTCCTTTCGCTTGTGTTTCCATTTTGCCTCTTTCTTTTTTTGTTTGTAAATTTGATGCATGGTCCGCGCCTCCAAAGCCATTTTCTATCATTTTCTCTCTTCCTCGAAAAATTTCAACGAAATTTTTCGCGCCACCAATTTTTTCCATGAGAGAGATGTATTTATTTTGAGTATCTAACATCAGAGATAGGCATGCCCGCAGTATAAAACTGTCAATAACTGTCAAGGGAGATAGCTGGTTATGGTTGTGATTGACCGCGTTCTGGAGGTGAGGTGGGACGATATCGCAATCTCATATGCGACTAGCGAAAGGCCACATGGGTAGAAACCATTAGGGGTGAAGCAAATCGTTGCCTCTAGTCACCGCGGGAGGCTAGTGAGTTTAGCTGTCCTATCCCTTGTCCTCGGCAGAAATGCCTTGGGTCTGTTCTCATGCGATCAGTCGCGGAGCATCGAGGCTTCCACATCAGTTCCGAGGTCTGCATCTCCAAGTAGCCAACAAACTTGTGCAAGGCCGTCTTGGTGATGGGCTGTGGGGTTCAGAAGAGCACGGGCGGGCCATTCAGTCTACTTTTTTTTTTTATTCTTTTTTTTTATTTTTTTATTCCTAGAATTGCCTCTGACAATTGGCCTATCTTGTGCAGTACACGATATTTGTTATCTAATGTCTAAACTAGGTGCGCGTACTTTGCACAGAAGCATTTTAGTATGCTTGTGCAGGAAGCCGGTTACCCGAGAGAATGTACTAGAACACTGAAAGGTTTGTCTAAGCGGTCCGCCGATTTGGCTGGCTCCACACGGCATTCAGACTGGCTCATCACCAGGTTAACGTAGCCATATAGTGGGCATACTCACTCTCTCCATGCACTTTGTGCGTCTGAGAATTATTTCATCTCAGGCCTCCTGGACAGGGGAGGCTAGCGCAATACCGTCAAATCCTAATTGAGCGTGTCTTCGTAGGTCTGAACCCACGACCCTCGCGCTGAAAAAGGGGAAGCTTTACCATTATGGTGGGCTCGCCCGCCCGGGCCATTCAGTCAACATGGGGAGGCGAAGCAACAGGACCTTGCATTTTCTGCGCCTTGATTGGGTGGACATACGTAGGCACAAAACCCCAGGTCAAGAAAGCAATACACAACAAGTACAAAGAAGAGGTGGCCGAGTGGTCCAAGGCGCCGCATCCTTAAATATTCTGTTTGATTCCTCTTGGATTCAAAAACTGCGGTCTGTTCCAAGAACAGTCGTGGGTTCAAATCCCTCCCTCTTCTCTTTTGCCACTTGTGTCTTGCTCCTTCTCCTTTCGCTTGTGTTTCCATTTTGCTTCTTTCTTTTTTCGTTTGTAAATTTGATGCATGGTCCGCGCCTCCAAAGGATGCGCCCCCCATGTTCTATCATTTTCTCTCTTCTTCGAAAAATTTCGTCGAAATTTTTTGCGCCACCAATTCGCCACGTGTGTGCCTCGTCATAGTCACAGTCCCTGAATCTGTTGCAAGTGGGCGCAATGGATGACAGACTTTCCTTAGCCCCAAGAACGGTGGTCGTCCCACCTCACCCTCCATACCGCGGTGAATCACACCCCTACCACTATCTCCCTTGACAGCTTTACACTGCGGGCATGCCTATTTCTGATGTTAGATATTCATCTCTCTCTAATGAAAAAAAATTGGTGGCGCGAAAAATTTCGACGAAATTTTTTCGAGGAAGAGAGAAAATGATAGAAAATGGGTCTTTCTCTTTGGAGGCGCGGACCATGCATCGAGTTTACAAACGAAAAAGAAAGAAGTAAAATGGAAACACAAGCGAAAGAAGAAGGCGCAAGACACAAGTGGCAAAAGAGAAGAGGGAGGGATTTGAACCCACGACTGTTCTTGGAACAGACCGCAAGTGTTTGAATCCAGTAGGAATCAAATGGAAAACCTTGTGGTTGCGGCGCCTTGGACCACTCGGCCACCTCTTCGTTGCACTTGTGTGTTGTGTCTTGCTTTCTTGACCTGGGGTTTTGTGCCTGTTCCAACTTCATCTTACCAAGGCGTGGAAAATGAGGAATCCTGTTACATCCCTAGGACTCCTAATCGAATCAAATAATTCGAATTTGAGATAGGGTGGATTCGATTCGATTTGAATACTCCCCTACTCGATTCGATCCGAATGGTTGGAATGATTCGAATGCTTCAAGAGGTGCCTTTAATTTCTGGTCAATTGAATTGTATTCAAACCATTTGATCAATTTGATTCGAATGATTCGATTCGAATGCGATTCGAATGGTTCGAGTGATTCGAGTAATTCGATTTGATTAGAGATCGATTGATCTCAACAAAGTTGGATTGAATGGTATATGGTTTAAAATATATATTGTAGAAATGAAAAAGTGAACACTATAAGTTTAAGGTAACTCTTTGAACCAAGAGTTCAAAAATAACCAGCTGTCGACGTGGCATTAATAATGGTTCGAATGGTCCGAATGTTTCGATTGATTCGAGTGCTTCGATTACTTCGAATGCTTCGGTTGATTCGAATGCTTCGATTCGAAACAAATGACATGTACAATTGCCCGTGGCCTGCGTACTTTAGAGAAACGACTTAAAAGATTTTTTAGGGAAAGAAGAAAAAAACAAACCATATGAAAGAGGAAGAGCAAAGAGGTAAGGATAATATTAGAGAAATTAAAGAAGAGAAAAAAATTAGTTGAGGGAGTGATGAGGAGGGACAACAAAAGGAACAGTTGAATAAGAGAAGCAATGAGGGTGACAATGCCACCGCTTGGGCCAAATGATATCATAGAAAAACAACGTCCATGTCCATCTCCATCTGCACCAATATACAGAGGATGTCGAGAAGAAAATCAGAGCAAAAAGAGAATACAACGGAAGAAAATAAGTGCATAAGGGAGTCAGAAACAGAGATGAAGCCTGCCAAAATAAAATCGACATCTACCTCGACCACATTTCGTTTTCTCGCTCTTGCCACCGCAGATCACATCCTAACGAATCATTGCAAGAGGATACTAGGATGAGGGCGTAGCCCGAATCAGATGATCTATGGCTATATTGTAAGAACAACGCCCGGGCTATGTGTTCCTTTCCCTGGCGCCGCATGCGGCAGAAGGGAGGGAGCGCACAGCGAGCACAATCATCAACGCAATCTTGCGTGAACTTTTAAGCAAGCACTTCTTTCCCCTGTTGATCTCTTTTTTTCGATTGACGATCATACTATATGTTGCATCTTTATCCTTTTCCTTCACTCCGGATTTCTCCTTAACCCACTGGCCAACTTTCATGCTCAGGCACGCGCTCAGGCACGCCCCAGAAAATGTTAAGGCAGAAGAGAGGCAATCAACACTGGAGACGCACAGCGGGGGCTGGTATGTGCTTAAGAACAGCCAAGAGTACACGGGCCTGTCGTTGAAAAAATCAAAACCGTGAAGATCATAAGAGAGACCATCGAAATGAAAACAGCAGCAGACCTTCTCCTCTCTTCTCCCCTTGCCTCCCCTCAGCAAACGGGACTGCAGTCATGACAGCACGGGCACCCGAAGGGCATGATGTCAGACAGGCATGGGCACTCGAAGAGCACCCCCGAAGCGAAGGTGGCCGGACACACAACGCGCACCTCTGGACACGGAAGATTTTTCTTTTTTTCTTTTTTTCTTTTTTTCTTTTTTTCTTTTTTTCTTTTTTTCTTTTTTTCTTTTTTTCTTTTTTTCTTTTTTTCTTTTTTCTTTTTTTCTTTTTTTTTTTCTTTTTTTTCTTTTTTTTCTTTTTCCCTCCTCCCTTTTCCTTTTCTTTTTACGAACACCGAACAAGCATGCCCCCGTCGGACCTTCCAGCAATACAAAACAGTCACATTAAATCAATTTCAAGTTGGGTCACCCTCACCCCCTCACACGCATAACACGACATCCCAGAGTCCCAGAGAACCCCAAAAAAGCCCAAGAGCCTCAAAGGACCCCACCCCTCTCCCACCACGGAACCAGCACCAGCACCAGCACCCGTGGCATCGCCCACGGGCACCCTTTCTAATACAATTATAGAAAATTTATGCAAATCATGTGATATCATCAATCCTCTGTAGAAAATCCATGTAAATCAGGCGATATCTGACACTCCTCAATTAGTATATGAGAAAGCCACAGTCTACTGAGACTTTTTACTCTGCTTCTCATGAAGCCAAAACCCCCTCCCTCCCTCATGCACAGAACGTGAACGAATAACTCCTTGGTCATTTTCAGATTCTGCCACATGGACTCCATGCACTCGATGTCCATACACGCTATTCCAATGCTCCATTTCGCGCCATGAAGTAACGTCAGCTCCAGACCACTTTCCAAAATCTCCGTCCAGCTGCAAGCTCAAGTCGAACCAACCATGTCCGGACGCCTGCAACCCAGGATGTGACGGTGCCTGAATGACAATTCTATCTGTGCTTCATTCCCTGAACATGACCTCTGCCCTTTTCATTTTATTCACCTATGCTCTCTCTCTCTCACACACACACACGTTTTCACCGTCTGTCCTACTTGCTGAAATACATGGCGTGAATTGAAGCGCTCACTTTTTTCATTGTTTGCCTTGTTATTGTCCAACCACCTATGGTCTATTTGTACCAATTGCAGGCAGTGTGCTTTCATTTTCAACTATGGCGCTTTTATTACACTGCATCGTCTCTCACTCACGGGTTGGTTGAATTTGTTCCCACACGACCACTGACCGCCTTAAAGGGGTTTTGCGCAACGCACAAACCCCTTCCCCTTTTGACCCATCCGTACATTGGTTTTTGCATAACGGTGCCTTTTTCTCTTTCAGTCCATCCTCTGTGTACTGTACTCTGGCATCAGTCGAACAAGGGATGTTGTTTTTCCCCACACTTTTGGTGCCCACCTCACGTTTCTTTAAACTAAAAGAAAGTAATACCGAAACACAACCCACACAAAGGCTTTCTCGTTCTTCCTCTTTCTTTCCTCTCGACTTTTCCCTCCTTTCTTGCTCATAAAATCACCAACAGTCCTTTCTTTCCTTCACAATACGAACCGTGACACCAAATCCAAAAACAACACACGAAACATCCCCTCCCAACCATGTCGTCCATCAACCCCGCTCTCGATATCCCTGAAATCCTCGCTCACCTTGGCTCCTTCATCACACAAAAGGATGCCCGCCTCTGTGTTCTGGTCTCCAAGGCCTGGTACCACGCTTTCCTGCCCATTCTTTGGGAACACGTCGAGACTGCCAACAACATCTCGCCCCAGGCAATCGAGAAACACGCCCATCACATTCGCTCCCTCTCCCTCGCCAGCACCAACGGACTCGAGGCCGTCCTCCTGCGTTGCACTCGACTTCGAACTCTAGTTCTGTGGCCTGACGCCCTTGAGGATGAAGACGACGACGATGATGATGACTACAGCGAGGGCTACAATTCGTCAGAGGAGGAGGAGGAAGAAGACCAGTTGTTTGGAAGTCACGCTCTCTCGACCCTTTTCGGGAACGAGTGCTCCTTCATCTCGTGGACCAAGACGGAAGGACGTAAAGGGCCACTTTCTTGCGCCGGCAGCTTTACCGACGATTGTGACAGCAGTGTCGACGGCAGTGGGAGCGAAAATAGCTGCGAGTGGGTGCAAGACAGGGGAGAGCAAAATGCAGCGGTAGGGGCGTGGGAGTGGGACAAGGTCAGACGTGACAGTGGTATTGGAGATGAAACCGCGGCTCAAGCCCTGGACGCGGAGGTCGCCTTGCTCCAAATTGCTGATGCGGTTCAACCCCACGCCCACTCCACCGTCCAGCGCCAAGAGCCTTTGCACTATCAGCAGCAACACTGCTACCACCGCCAGCAGGAGAAGGAGCAGGAACAGCTTCCCATCTTTTCTCAGGAGAATCAGAGTCTTCTTGCTAAGCTCCTCCTTCGCAACCCAGGCTTGGTCCATGTCGAGGTCTATGTCGAACGTAGGTCCCCCGGAGGCAGCTTTTGGCGAGCTCTGGCAACAACTGAACCAAGACCGCCCTTTCAGCCGACATTACCGTCTCCAGCAACCATCGCTCTCTTGAGTCTCAGCTCCATGATGGCTCCAAAGACGTCTCCTCGACTGTTGACCTTCCAGTCGCTCGTTAACCTCTATGTATATAAACATATCAAGCCCTTCCTGCAGATGTGCACCCAACTCGAATCCCTCAACCTTGAGGGCTGCAGTCTTCGACAGTTGGATGATGAGTATTACAAGAAACTCCGATTCCCTCGATTAAAGCATATCAAGTTTGGTCGGATTAAGGACTGGAGTCTGTGGAGCCAACTCTTGTTTATCCGCCAGTGCCACGAGCTCCGGACGCTCAACTGGCGTGTGCCTCGTCTTGGACTGCCGGTCCAGGCATTTTGTGATGCCCTGGAGACTGACTGGCCCAACCTTGTATCGTTGACATTACCAGAGTCGAGGTTAAGCGATGGTGACTTGGCCAAGATACTCGCTGCCGCGTTGCCTCTTACGACGTTGTCCATTCGGAGAAGCGACTTTGGGGATTTCTCTTTTCGAGCATTGAGGCAACACTTCAGGACGCTACGACAGCTGGATCTGTTGCAATGCCCTGGTCTTGGCAGCGACATGACACAGCATATCCTGGAGAATTGCCCCCTCCTGGAGAGCTTTGAGGGCAACAAACTCTTGCTTCGGGATGTGGCTCAGGGCTTATGCGGCGGCAGACGGAGGGGCTGGGCTTGCAATGGTCTCCGGATGTTGGATGTTCATCTTGCAGGTCACTCTTCCGCCATGGCGTTCGATCATCATAATGACGCGTTGTCGGCTCAATGGATGGTGTACTCGCAGTTAGCCAAGATGGACAACCTTATCAGTCTCTCTATTGGTGGCAAGAGCGCACACTCACATCCACATCCACATGGAGTCGAGCCGAATGTGGGGCCAGCAGAAGCAGCACCGCCTGTCCTACCACAGCATTATTCGGCAACACCGGAGGTAGCCACAATGCCGTCATCCTCTGGATCAGTGTTACTCGCATCTCCACGAGGTTTTACCGAACGGTCCGGACGTCCTTCTGCTCGAACAAGTCGCAGGCGGATCGATGGTCTCCACTTGAGTTTGGATGATGGACTCGGTCAACTGTCGACGCTTAGGAACTTGCAGTTCCTGCGGTTCACGGGTCTGGAGCAGGAGATGGAAGAAGATGATGTACGGTGGATGATTGAGCAGTGGCCGGAGCTGAAAGTACTTCAAGGAAAGCTGCATTCAAATGAGCGACGACAAGATGTGTTGGAGTCCTTGTTGGCTGTCTACGGGATCTCTGCTTGGACAAACTACAACCAGCCACCACTCCGCTGACCTCAACTATGGCACCCTCATCCACTTGTACCGATAGCATAGCCGCTCCAACCGCACTAGGCGATGTAGAACGTGATCTGATAGGGAAACACGCAAGTAAAGCAGCATAGGATAGGCTCAGCCATGATTTACACACCCTTCTGTTAATCATAAGAAGCCTTTTTTTTGTTGTCTACGATCAGTGGATAAACGTAAAAGACGGAAGCGGACACAAAGCAGGGGATGGAGTTCACGAAAAAAAAAAAAGGAAAAGGAAGTAAGGTCTTCAAAGGAAACGAGGGTTGCATATCAAAATCTTCTGAATACCATTCACCAGTTACAAGCTGGTCTGGAACCTGACTGTGCACAACTATTGTCGCTGCTCTTCACAGCTTAAACGGAAGACTTTTTTTTTGTTTGGGATTTATTTCTCTAGCTAACAACTAAAGTAGGCATTCAAAGAATAAAAGGGCACTATCGAATGAACTCTCCAAGGAACCATAGACCTAGGCGCTGTCCTTGAGTCCAAAGCTCTACAGGCTCAGCCCAACAATCACTCGCCTTCTCAGGCTGGCACGGAAGAAAATAAACTACTCGTACACCCGCATGAAGGGGATCCCACCCATCCTTTCATCAACGACAACCGTCTCCTTCCTAGTGGCTCTTAAACGGAAGACAAAATAAAACTAGATGTGAATAAAGGGAATTCTTCCCACCTTCGCCATTATTGATAACCTCTTCCTTCCCAAACTACTCTCAAACAACCGCTCGTCAGCAGCGCGTGGGTCGTTGGTCGCTCCAGGGTAGCCTCCATCCTCATTTCTCATTCGTGACTAGCGAAGTGCTACAAACACGAATAAGAGTCAGTTTTCATACAGGCAAAGAAGAGGAAAGCTGGCCACAGGTCACTGCGTCAAAAGAGGGACATGACACTTTCTGCCATTACCAGAGCCAAGGAAGAGGTGGCCGAGTGGTCCAAGGCGCCGCATCGTCAAGATTCTGTGATTCCTCTTGGAATTAACAACTGCGGTCTGTTCCAACAGTCGTGGGTTCAAATCCCTCCCTCTTCTTTTTGCTGCTTTCCTTCTTTCATTCTCCTCTTACCTTGTTGCTTCTTTTGCTCCAATGTCATTGTCTGCGCCTCCGAGGCGGCGCTGTCGTTGGTGCCTGCGTAGTTTTTTGGCGTTTCCCCCACGCGAAATTTTTAACGCCACCAATTAGTTTTTATCGTCTTCCGTAAGGGGCCGTACATCGCTATTCTAACATGACAGTCCTGGGGCAATTGAGAGAAGAACGAATTAATGAAGCCAAGAGTTTCCCTTACCAACACTCCCTTCGAGTCTCAGATCATCAGGAGTAAGATTTTTTATTGTTTTTTTCGTACTCAATTTTATATCTTTGACAAACAGAACAAAAGAGGCATTTGGAAGGAAAAGGGACTGCAGACCAAACTCTCCAGTACACCATCCGCCACTCACAGTCCGGTCCGGAACCTGGCTCTGCGCAACAATTGTCGCTGCTCTTCACAGCAATAACGGAAGAAAATAAAACTAGATACGAATAAAGGGAATTCTTCCCACCTTCGCCATTATTGATAACCTCTTCCTTCCCAAACTACTCTCAAACAACCGCTCATCAGCTATGCGTGGATTCTTGGTCGCTCCAGGGCAGATCCGATCCTCATGTGTGGCTATCGAAGATCCACGCGTGATGTAACCATATCCTTACTCCAGTCGCCACGGGGACCTGTGTATTTGGAGGTCTTGTTCTTGGAAGAGATGCCCTGGGTCTGCTCCCACGCGATAGTCGCGGAGCATCGGGTTTCCAGATTCGCTCTGAGGCCTTCGTCTCCAGGTTTATAACAAATTTGTGGAGGACCGTCTTGGCGATAGACTGTGGGTTCGAAAGACGTCTCCAGGAACGCCAAACCCACTGTTGGCGAAGTAAGAGGATTTTGCATTTTCTGCGCCTTGGTCGGGTGGAGTGGACATACGCAGGCACAAACGCCCAGGTCAAGAAAGCAAAGCACAACGAGGACAAAGAAGAGGTGGCCGAGTGGTCCAAGGCGCCGCATCATCTTGAACCTGTTTGATTCCTCTTGGAATTAAAAACTGCGGTCTGTTCCAAGAACAGTCGTGGGTTCAAATCCCTCCCTCTTCTTTTTGCTGCTTTCCTTCTTCTTTCACTCCTCCTCTTACCTTATTGCTTCTTTTGCTCCAATATCATTGTCTGCGCCTCCGCGGCAGAAGCTGTCGTTGGTGCCTCCGTTCTTTTCTGGCGAAAATTTTAACGCCACCAACTCTCCCTTTGAGTCTCAGAACATCAGGAATAAGAATACACAATCCCTCACTGCCGCAGTGTATTACGAAAGCATAAAAATAAACATCTTTTTCGTTTCTCTTCGCTACTTCTCTGAGCAGAAAAATCTAACAAAACCAAGGACAAAACACATTGCCTGCAGGGAGTGTATTCAAGAAATCCAAGAAAGATGTGGCCATGACGTTCATGGAACCACAACGCTTTGAACTTGACTCTGTATAGCTCTATATAGGAGTTAGTCCTTCTTGGCCAGTTGCAGTGCAACATTTAACACAATAACGCGGAAAGGGACAAGGCGGTGTCCCCTGTTCCGAGCGGAGTTTGTTGGAGGTCGACGCCTCCGTATCTGAGGACATGGAAATTTTGATCCCTTGTTATGTCTGTGTAGCGGTCACTTGCAAATGTGCTTTTGTATTCTTTCTCTTGCTTCATAATGCCTGCACTCGCACTTAATGCTTCCAAGGAGCTACTGGCAACCCTTTTGTTTTCCTCTTCATATTCATGTCCTTGGTGTCTTTTAAGAACCAAGAGTATTATTATCTTGTAGTTGTCGTCGTATGTGGTGCATCTGTGTGGAGTTGACACCGTTGCCCTATCGCTGAGACTTGACTGAACGTTCTAGGATATTTTTTTCTAGCCTTTGATTAGACAAATTAACATGAATGTCGGGCACGATATCGTTGACAGCCGAGAATGACGATGAAGTACGAGTACCCCCTTAGGCCCCTCTATTCGTAAAGAGGCTAGACCTCTGAAAAACGGCCCTTTTGGGGTCCTTTTTTTTAGGCCTAAACGGTGGCGGCGCAGCGTTTTAAAAGTCCAGACCATTCTAAATAGCCATCTTAACATCACAAAGTAAAGGAAGGGGTGGCCGAGTGGTCCAAGGCGCCGCAACCACTTCAAATACATTTGATCTTCCCTTGGAATATCAAAATTATTGCGGTCTGTTCTAAGAACAGTCGTGGGTTCAAATCCCTCCCTCTTCTTCTTTTTGCCTTTTACCTTCTCTCACTCTTCTTTATCATTGGTTTTTTTTTGTTCTTTTGGTCATGATGCTGATGGACGTGTGCGTCGTTGTGTGCTTGGACAAATGAGTGATGACGAGAAGAAAGAAGCCAAATAAAAAAAAAAGTTGTGAGCAATTTTATTTTTTGACCTTCATCAAGTCACAATTTGATGAGAAAGATCATCTCCAACTCTGGTCATATCCACACATGAGGATAAGACCTGCCCTGGAGCGACCAAGGAACTACACGCTGCTGACGAGGGGTTGTTGGAGAGTTTGCTGGGAGGGAGGGGGGGGGGGGTTACAAATGAAGAGAAGGAGGGGAATACAGCCGGTTCCTTTTACTCTCAAATGCCCTCTTTGTGCTGTTTGTCTGTGAAATAAAATAGTGTACAAAAAACAGAAAAAAACCCCATTATCTCTGGGTGCTACCACTCCTTTTTCTGTTGATATGCAAGTGATGGTCTTTTGCTGTGACAACGTGAGAATAAGGAGCTACAATAGGCTTAGCGGGTCACTGTCACTTTCAAGGAGGATTGTATATCCATGGACATGAAGGTGCCGCGTAAACAGGGTGCAGGGATAGGTCTCAGACCACTTTCTGTTGGGCGGGGCTCTAAACTGTCGTCGTAGATGGTCATTTGAATACAGCAAGTAAAATGATGTTTGATAAACACAAGTGAACAAGTGAACAAGAGGTGAACTATTTGGCGCCTTTGTAGACTCATTGATATCACCTAGCTGAGCCGGGAGAAAGCAAGAGAGATAAGCGAAGGTACAACTGGATCTCCTCCTTCTCGATCGATTCATATTCGATAGAGAGCTTCATCTTCGGCTGGCCAGGCAGTTGTTATTGCTGTTATTGTTGCCGTTGTTGTTGGGGAGAGGGGGGTGATCGTGAATTATATGGGTACAGTGTGTATATAGAATCGACTTGCAGGAGGTGAGCGTTGCGTGTATGCGTGTGGGAGTGTGACAAAGGTATGGCCCTGTCATTTGACTTTTGCTTTTCCTTTGCTGTTCAATTGTGAGCATTTATTACATTTGCTCGGCTGGACGAAGTAATTTCTGGTGCAACTAGGGCTATGGGACCGACAAAGGGAGACAGAGGAAGGTAGACTTTGCACGTGCCATGGCCTTAATCTACTTTTTTTCCCTTGCAAGTGAGAAATAGGAAGTAGGGACAGAGAGAGAGGGAGAGAGGGGTGCCATGATGCTCTTGTTGAGTTGTGGGAGAATAAAAAAAAAGATGCAGGATATCAACAGAAGAAGAGAATGGAGACCAGAGCTCTCTAATCTCTCCACAAAAGCAAGGCGCAGTGTCATGTCGCTTTGTTGATTTTTGTACACTTTACGACCACAATTAAAAGGCGATACTGGCTAAGGACAGTCTCCTCCACACTATCCACCGCTCTAGGGGAGATCGTTTTCTAAATGGTATATATGTTCAATAACGCCTGACTGCATCAGCGGCATTTGCAGTAAAATGACAGGTTTGTGGACGAAACAGCGCCTCACCTTTAATTGTCGCTAGGCGCTAACCCTTGTTGATGGTGAGTTTGAAGAGATAGAGTGAAAAGCGACGGAATCGATGGAATCGACGATGCGATCGGACGAGCCATTGTACGTTCACGTTAGCTGTCCTTTCCGTTCCTACTTTGCCCCATGTCATTCAACTGTGCCTCGTTGTTCATCCTTGTGTTGATTATAGAAGACGATGACAAACGAACATGAGATTTCACTCCTGCAAACCTGCAAACCAAAAAAAAGGCGTAATGGATGGAAGGAACAAGGTTCGACGACAAAAAGGAGAAGGAGGCCCACAGCGCAATGCAACCGAAGGTGGGCATTCGATAGACCAGGGAATAATTGGTGGGTTGCACAAGCGGGTAATGATAATTATACAGAGTGCAACCAAACCATTCCTCGTGTTAATTCAACTAACATCCCCTTTCCGCTCGGCTTGCTCCAGTTTCAAACAAGAAAGCGGTTTTTTTTGTTGTTTGCTTCGATTTCTTCCTCCACGCTCAGAACTAGAATAGAGCAAAAGTGTGTTGAGTTTGACGGTCGACTCCCTCGTGAATTCGTCCCCAGCAGACAGGCAGGGCTCTCACCTTTCTTCCCTTCATCCCGAGCTAAGCCATCGGACATCTTTAAAAGAGCACTCCCCCCGGCTTTTTCTGAGTTCCTTAGTTCAACAACTCTCATACCTTCACCTACAAACCTAACACCCATCCCCCCCACTTCACTATACCAACAATGACCAAGCTCGCCAAGGGAGATATCCTCACCGCCCCCGGTACCGGTTACATTGGCTGCCTTACCCCCGATCAGAAGAAGTCCTTGAAGGAAGTCTGGTCCATCATCTTTGACATTGCCGACTCAGGCGAGGCCGTCCTCCCCGCAGACATGATGCACGAGGTCGAGAAGGAAGCCAAGTCTGCCGCCGGTGCCAACACTGCCACTGCTCAGGCTGCCGCCAAGGCTGGCTGGTTTGCTGGCAACAAGTCTGCAAAGGCTGAGGCTGATGCCAAGGCTGCAGGGTATGGTGCCGGTATGGCCAAAATCTCTCTTTCCGATCTGGGATTGAGCGTCGACAAGTTGCGCCCCATTCTCTGGGATAACGCCATGGGCGACCACCCTGGTAATCTACTCTTGTCTCTTTTATAAACGGTTATCGATATCTCTATATGTGTCTGGTCAACCATTGTCTTTGCCATCGGAAGCTTCAGTTATTGTTGTGTCTTTTTGTTCTAACTGGGTCTTTTGTTGTTTATGTTGACGTTCCATGGGTTCAATAGACTCGCTGTTGTTGAGATTCATTCGTGCCCGCAAGTGGAACACTGTCAACGCCTTGAACATGTTGTTCAAGGCCTTCAAGTGGCGTTTGGACGAGGACATCCCTTCGATCAAGTATTCCTCTGACGATAGCCTCAATGAGCAAAACCCCAAGTTCTTCGAACAGCTCGAGATGGGCAAGTTCTACATCAACGGAACCGATAAGGACAACCGCATTGTTGCCTACTTGAATGTTCGCCTCCACCATCCCGGTGACCAGCCTGCCAAGACCCTCGAAAAACTGACCATCTATGTTATGGAGTGTGGTCGTGTTCTGCTCGAGCACCCCGTCGAGACTGTCTGCTTGGTCTTTGATTTGACTGGATTCGGACTGTCGAACATGGACTTTAACATGGTCAAGTACCTCGTCACCGTCTTTGAGGCATACTACCCCGAGTCTCTCGGTCGCATTATCATCCATGGTGCGCCCTTTGTGTTTTGGGGAGTGTGGAAGGTTATTGAGCCTTGGCTGGACCCCGTCGTTGCCTCCAAGGTCCGCTTTACCCGCAAGGATCAAGATCTATTGGAGTTCATTCCCGCCAACCATTTGCCTACACAGTACAAGGGTGGTCTCAACAAGTTCAAGTACTCATACCCTCACGCCAAGGCCGGCGAGAACAAGGCCATGGAGGATACCGAGACCAAGGAGCGCCTTGTTGCCGAGTGGAAGGCGACGTTCTGGAAGTTTGAAGCCCTGACTCGTGAGTGGATCAAGGTCGGCACCAAGGAGGCGACGTCGACGAGGACTGAGGCCGAGATTGAGGCCGAGCGTGAACAGGTTGCTAAGGATCTCCGAGTTGCGTTCTTCAAGATGGACCCCTATATCCGTGCCAGGAACATGTTCCATCGTTCCAACCCTCCAGTTGCCAGCGCCGACGGCAGTGTCCACTGGGTGTACAACAACTAAATTGCACTTTTTAAGTTTTTATTATTATTCAACCAATATACCAATTGTAAAGTTTCAACATCCACCCTCTGTTCTGTCTGTCAACTCTTCATCATCAAAAAATATGTCTTTGGGCTGCCGACCCTATGGCTACTCGCCTTGTCAGGTCAATTTTTAGCTGTAGGGCAAAGAGGCGTAGGGAGGTTTGGTCGGTCCATCCACATTTGCAGTTCTTCAAGAAGCTGACGATGTTTTAATATTGGGCAAGTAAAATACATCAAATCTAATGGCTTCTTCTTTCTCTTGCCTTGCACAGTTGGACACGGGTTTATGATCGTGTCGGCTGAGGAGTACTTCGCCTTCAAATCTCGCTGTTAATGCCACACCAGCAGTGAGTACCACAACATCAACCTTATCCCAACCCCCCAACCTTGACAGTTTCATGCTACAGACCAGACGCCCCTTGCTAGGGCAGCTCATTTTATGGTCAACCATGTTTCCTCCTAAATAATCTTGCGCTCCTTCCTTCCTCTCTCTTCTCACATACAACGACCAACTACCTACTACTACGACAACAGCAACAGCAACAACAAAAGAGATGGCAAAGGACATTCAGACACCACCAGGCACAGGTCATGTCGGCACAATGACCCCCGACCAGAAGGAGCTCCTCAAGGAGATGTGGTCCCAGATCTTCAGCATCGCGGACTCGGGCACCGTCAACATCCCCTCAGACGTTCTCGCCGCTACCGAGACTGCGTCTGCTGGTTCTGAGACTGCGTCTGTAAAGTCCAAGACGGCCACCAAGAAGGGCTGGTTCGGCACCTCCAAAGCTGCACCTCCAGCTGCTGCTGCTGGTGAAGATACCCCTTCGGCGCGTGTCAACCTTGCCGAAATCGGACTGTCGGTCGAGCAGCTGCGACCTGCCCTTTGGAACAACATCCTCGGCGACCATCCAGGTACGGCGCAAGTTTTGATTGCTTTATTTGTTTGCTTTTTCTTCTTTACCAGAGGATGGGGGTCTTTGTTTGTAGCTCAATGACTGAGTGAGTGGGGATGAGTCGAAAGGGTTGATTATGTATGTGTGTTCGTGCTCAGCCGACCATGGCCATCGATGGATCACGCCAATTGCCCTTTCCCCCTCCTTTGTCGACACCCCTCAAAAGGATAGATGCTCTGTCAAATCAATTCTAGCTTGCAGTCGACACTTGACCCACTGCTACCCCCCTAACTCTCTCTCACCTTGACCTATGACT